AAATCTTAAGAACTTCTAATCCTAGAGGTCTCTTAATATTGATTTTTTTATCTTTTTTAGTTACGAAAAAACATAGCTTCTTCTTCTCTTAATGAGAGAAAGGCAGAGACAGAGGGAGGAGGCGGAGAGAGAGAGAGAGAAAGGTGTTTTTGACAGGCTCTTTCTGTGGTGGGCCTCTGCCCCTCCTCGCCCCTCCGCAGTTCGCTAGCTACAGGTGTGCAGGAGTGCACCCGGCCTGCTCATGCCAGTCTGGGATCCAGCCTGGGCCTCCCGTGTGGCCCCAGCTTCATGCAGCAACACTCTGCCATTTGTGCCACTGTGGCTGGGACCTTGTAGTTTCTTTAATTATTACCTTTTTTTTTCTCGACAGTGGAATTATCCATTTACCAATCACATTATCAATATGCAAAAAGTTCTTATTTCAATTTTAAAGCAAATGTAAGCCATGATTATTAGAAAAACTACTTTGCAAATCAACCATTATTTATTTCAGAATATAATCAAGTACCACAGGCTAGATTAAAAGCTTAAGGAACGGAATATTTTTTTGTGTGCAATTTAAAATAATAAAGGTAATCAAACCTTCCTGCCAATCTAGGTGATTGTGAAATTTAATTACTAGCAGTTACCATTAAAACAGAGGCAAAGCAATTTCTTTGACACATAATTGAACACGCCAGAAGAAAATTTCTGAAGAGTTCTCAGAAAATGCATTTTTAAATTAATTTCAACCCGATTATTTCATTCGTTCTGTCTCCGTTGGTAATGTAGAATAAATGATACATTTGGTCGATAGAGTCCAACAGCAGCAAGCGAGAGCATATTCTCAGGAAAGTCAGATAACTTTGGGCTTAATACTGAGTAGATTATTAGATCTTTACTCTTTGTGCAAACACAATCAAACCTACATCTCTCACAGCTAGTCCGCAAAGAGAAGTTTGACCTCTGTGACATCACCTCTCTAAATGCTTATTGATGCTACAGGACCAGCCGCTCCTCTTCTAGCGCTCCATTGCCCAGCTCTGTCCAAAGGCATCCAGAAGTGGGCCATTAAACCCACTGCTCCCAGGGCCAGCAGGTAGTGTGGTAGGGAAGGTGCTGGACTCCCACATGGCCAACCATGGTTCAAGTCCTGGACCTGATGGCTTGCTTTCTCACTTTCTCTCTCATGTGCCCTATGGCAAATTTTAAAATAATAATATTAAATGAATGATTATTTTAAATGAAACAAAGTCCATTGCTACCTGAACAGAAAGAAAACCTTTTACATCATCAGCAGCCAAAAGTGACCTGGCAGGTCTGCGCACGGTGCTATTATGGGCCTATAAGCATAACTGTCTAGAGAAGAGTAACCACCAAGCAAAGGAATAAAAGCTCTAAGAAGGAAAGTAGAAAGTAATGTATGAACTTCCTAATCTCCAAACCTTTGCCTAAACTCTACTCTTTTTCTTTTTCAAACTTATTTACTTATTTCTTTTATGGCCAAAAGAGACAGAGCGAGACACACAGAGATATCTCCCCTAACAGAATCTCTACGCTGCAATCCGCAGCCGCCAGCTTCAGCCAACTTGATCATGGTCATGCATGCCTAGCATACTCTGAGATATCTCTGAAGACATGTCCCGTTGGACCACTGCACCACCATGCGGCCTTGCCCTCTCCTCTTTCTGAAATGCCTTTTCCACTATCTGCTTTCTGGAAAAGTCTTACTCATCCTTCAAGACCCAAATCGTATGTCAACGCCAATCGAGCTCTTTAAATAATCACTTTCTTCCCCTGCACACTCTCCCACAGATTTCATTTATCAGACTGGATTAGAGATTGCTGTTTGCTTGTTCATCTCTGTTGCTGGTGGAGCAGGAAGTGCAGGCAGAGTCCAGAGGCTGTTGCTTTCTGCACGTCTCCAGGACTTTGCCATGGACTGGGGGCCACGGAGGCTGCGAGTGGCCGGACGAGGGCAGCGGATCTTAATTTATTTTTCCATTCGAAATACTCGGGACTAGGCTTGAAACCTGGAAGATATTCGAATGCTTATTTAACGGAGCCCCAAACTGAAGATCAAATTTAACATGTGATGGACGCATTGTATGTTTGGGACCTATTTCTGCACCTATTGTCTGAGGCAATGAGCTCCTCCTTTTTATTTTATTTTATTTTTTTCAGATTTTTCCCCCACAGGATGTGTGCACTCATAGGAGAGAGAGAGAGAGAGAGAGAGAGAGGGAAAGTGAGAAATCACCTCCCCTCCCCCCAGGAGGGATGGCCACACCACAACCCCTTCTCTTCCATTCTCGCGCTGGAATTTTGGGCACACGAGCACATGCACCCAGGGTGTTTTTCAGACCGCCAGGTCTGAGACTCAAACCATAGAATAGGCCATGTGAGATCTAGCACCTTAGCCACCATGCCACCTGCTGGTTCAGTGCTTCCTTTTTAATGTCGCAAAGGAATAAAGTTTACTCTCACCAAGCTCTTAAGTGGCCAGGCCATGTGCTAAATATTCTATACTCATAGCCTCATTTAATCCCCACAGTACTCCTAGAAAGCAGGTCTAATTGTCAGTATTAGACTTATTTACAAATCAGGAAACTGAGGCCTGGACAAATTAGGGATGCTCCCATCACCGTACCCAGCTGGTATCATGGAGCCAGAACTGAAAGACCATCATCCCAGAACTGCAGTGTTAGAAGGAATTCTAAGATTATTTTCCTCACTGAACCTTCTTGAAGCTGAAGCTTCTAACATACTGCCTGACACACAGTAGGACCTTGAAAATAATGATTAATAGATGGATGGAATGTCTTCACTTCTAAGAATCTGGCCTTCGCCTGAGAGCACCCAGCTGCCACCACAAATAGGCTCTATTCTCTGCCCAGCACCTCTCACAGGTGTGAATTGCTGGTGTTATCTGAATTATTCATGATCCGCACAATGGTAAGTGTGCTTGAAAAGAGAACTATGATTCCATATTTTTCAAGACAACGTGTCTGATTAATTGGTGAATTAGACAGTATAAACTCATGGGCCAGTTTAATTAATAATATATGCCCACTTTTTGCATTTCAGCTTTCATGTCATTTCCCAGTTTCCATTAGGATTAAAACCAGAGGTAAATGAAAGAGGAAAGAAAACCATCATAAGTCTCTAGCCTATCTGCAAAGCAATTACCTTCATCTAAAGCTTATACTACGCTGCCTCACACCGACGTATTCTTCCCGAAGCTGAGTTAGGATAGTCAATCAGATTTGTTAAGCTGCAACAAGAGCTGAAAATTTAGATGCCACCGCATCTGTTATTTATACCACAGGTGTATCACGTGACAACTCTCGCCTCCTGTCCTCTCTCCACCCTTCTCTCCCTTTGCCACCTCCTCTCCCCTACCAGTTCATTTTCTAGCAGGCAGTTTTTAAAGAGGGCTAACCTATGCCAATAGTAAGCCAACATCACTGTACTTAAAATTCAATGTTAGCCAACCAAAATGAATTGAAAGGCAGGAGCAGTGGTTTGAGGGTACTAAAAATAAGCTGTAGCATTTGCTGAGTTCTCAGAATTAAAACCACAGGCGGTCAACTTGTTGCTGCTCTTAATAAGATGTGACTGTTCTGCCCCATCGGTTGCTCCTTCCAGAAACTTGAACTGTGTCGTACACCTAAGAGCACTGTGATTTCGATTAGTTGGCAATGATGCGAAAAGGAAGTGTCATTTACCGGGGACTAAACCTGCCCAAAAAGATACCAGATGGCTTCCGAGGGGTCACCTTGTGCCACATCACAATTGCACCTTCATCACATTCACCTTGCATTTGTGATTCAGTTAGTGACACAGCTATGCATGTGGTGGTCTTTGTGCCTGGTGTGGAATCGAATGCCTCCAGAAAGGTGTTTCATCCCCTGAGTTTAATTTTTGAGTAGTAGTAAAAAGAGCCCAATAGGACTTAATACAGTATTAATACATTGAGCATGTCCACTAGGACTTCAAGGCCTTCTTGACCCGACGACTGTACACTACAGTACATGCCTATCAGTTAGCCCTTGAGGATTTGGCATTAAAGTTTTCCATGACCAGAGCGGTAGAGGGCTACCATCTAATGCATCATTCTGATTAGAAACCTGTCATACTCAGAAACCAGTGGGTCTGCTTCTATTGATTCGTCCTTCTTCAGGTTCATTGGCAATTTTTCTCTTCAATTAGACCTGCTGATCAACCACAGAAAAGCTGAAAGAAGCCCTCCCTTTGCTCAGCCACACTGAAAAGGAAAAAAAAAAAAACAAACACACAAAACAAACAAAAAACTGTACGCCTTGAAAGTAAAATTACAGAATGTTATGAGCAAATGCCTGAAAAGCCACATAGGAAACCCTCTCTCACACACACACATACACATACACACCCACACTTGTATGCACGCCAAGAGTCAGAGGCTGGGCTCGACCTCTCTTCCCCTAAGCCACTTCAATCAGGACCAGAAAGACAATCCCTTCATTACCGCTATCTCAAACCCATACCCCCAGCGAGCGTCTCCACGGAGCTAATTTCTGAAACAAACAAAGAAAATCAAATCTACGAGGAGCGAGGGCTTGCTCCCCTCTGCTTTGGTCTGGGATCCAGGGTAGCGGGCGCAGCGCGGCAAGCAGGCTGGGGTGCCCAGCTTCACCCTAACCTTCCTCGCCCCACCAGTCCCGCTCCAGCTGGGCCAGAAAGTGCGAGCCTGCCCAGCTCCTTTCGCTTCTCGCCTGCAGCGTCCCAAGCCCCAGAACCCTCGCGTCGGCACTGTAAGGGCGCCCCCGCTCTCGCACCTCTGCGCGGTCAGATGTGAGGCGCGGAGGTGCCGTGGGCACTGGGGTGCAGGAGAACCAAACAAGTGTCACGCCGGACGCTTGCCGGGACTCGGAGAGGGGGGGCGGGACGGCCACAGGTTGGCTCTGTGCGTGCCAGGGTTTGGGGCAAGGGCACGGGTCGAGACCCCGCGCGACAGCCGCGCCGGACGGGCTGGAACTCACCGGAGGACACCGAGGAGCCGGACAGGCTGGAGTTGCTGGACGCTGCCATCTCCGCGTGCCCCGCGCGTCGCTGCTCTCTCAGCCGCGGTGCGAGCGCCGCCGCCGCGCCCCCCCCCGCCCCCTCCCGCCCTCCGCGGCCCCCAGCCCATGGCAAAGTCCTGGGGACGCGCAGAAAGCACCAGCCTCCGGACTCTGCCTGCACTTCCTGCTCCACCAGATGACGCGCTGCCGCCGCCGCTATTTATTTGTGGTTTCCGTCCCTTTCCGCGCCTTTGCACGCGTGTCTCCGGGTGTCGGGGGTAGGTGAGAGCAGGGGGAGGCCGAGGGACAGCTGGGGCGGCCGGGTGGTGGCCCCAGCCGAGCCCACTGCCGTCCGCGCTCCCCCGCGCGCCGCTGGGACCCGGGTGTTTGGGCGGCCCTGAACCGCCCCGCCAGCTCCCTGCACCCTCCCGGGCTCCCGCTTTGCCTGCCTGCCGCACTTCGAGTAGCCCGGGCAAAGGCGGCGGGAGACCGACAGAC